TATATATAGATTATATATAGATGTATATATATATATATATATAGATATATAAATATATATAGTATATATCTATATATATATATATATATATATATATATATATATATATATATGAATGAGATTGACTCTTAACACCTGGTGGTTTTGCTCTTTCAAGGACCGAGACTGGAGCTGGACTCAATACGAAACTTTAACAACAAAATTAAAAAAGAGAAATGCGTAAGCGTTTAGTCGCGTCCTCCCACCCCGCCTGTGCTCCGTGTTACACTACAGACTGTAAGCTGCTAACACCGAGCAGACAAGAGAAAAAAACAACATTGTACAGTTGTACATGGACTCAGGACTACTGTCTTTAAAAAAACTCTCCAGACGGATCCCGCTCATGCTCGGTCCGTCCACTTCGTCGTCTCTTTGGTGGATTCATGTTTTTATATGAGAAAAAACAATGAAGCCGTGTCCTCTACTGTTTTCTTTTGCTGCACAATACACATCATAATAAATAAAACATCTGAAATACATTGTTACTGTCATGCAAAAAAAAGCAAACTGTAGCACCGGATTTGAGGATTTTGAGGAGGATCTATTACATGAGAGTACTGGACAGAAAACATGGGAGCGAGTTCAATAGTGTGCCGGAAAACACAGGTCGCAGTGGGGGGGGGGGGGGGGGTGTCGAGGAGGAAATTACAATCAAGCTAACAGCACTTTGATACTCCCATGTATCCTCTCGGCAAAGAGGTGACACGTTTCCAGGCTGCCAAGAAAGATTTACAAACAGTTAAACTGTTATTAATGTCGCTCATAATCAGATATATTTGACTGTACACAGTCTGGGGTTTAGACTCTGTAAATGTTATTTTGAGTATTATTTGTAAATGTTCTGTATCATAGGCAGAAGTCTTTTGTCATGATATATGTGACAGACGTGGCTGGCCATCATGTGTATACACTGTCCATACTGTACATGTCTTTTGAATTGTCTGCCAGAGAAGTGTCATGTCTCAATTATGTGCACATTTTATTTCACTAGGTTATAATGCTGCGTTCAGGGCACAGCTACAAATGTTTAGTTTCCATGGAAATGTAGTGCAGAGTTGAAACAAATCTCAATCAAATCTGTAAAAGGCAAATGCTACTTAAAGCGTTTAGAAAGAGCAAAACACCGCCAAGTTCATAACACCGCCAAGTTCATAACACCGCCAAGTTCATTGTCATAAATAATATTTGGATGTTTTATGTTAATATTTTTCAAAATGTTCAGTGTTTCCAATCAGGTTGGCACAAATGAAACAATGGGACAGAAATAAACTTCAAAGAAGGATTAAATACTATATAAATACAATCTCCAATGTGAGGATTTGTAGCTTCATGTTTTACAGAAAAATAAATATCTTTAAGTGGCTTCAGTCACTTCAAAATAAGTAATTATTAGAAAAAACTATAAGGAGCATATTTTAATATCTTCTGACATCTGACAAAAAAAGTATGAATTTGTCATTCAGTAAAGTAAACAGCAGTTGACACTTATAACTAGTCAATGGGACTACTTTCAGATGAATGTATTATCATTTGACTGTATAACATTTCAAAAAGACATTCGGGTAGGTCCATTTGGCATTTATTGCTTGAAAACTCACTGAATAAACGAATGCTTTTAACTCTGGGCTGGACTATTTTATCTATGACATGAACGCGGCGTTATACAATAAGGTGTGACACCGTATGGATTCCATAGAACAATGGAGATAAGTCGACCTTTGACCCACAGTGAGATCAGTGTGAGTGATTGGAGCCCGGATGGTTAATAGTTGAATGTACTGCAGTTCCAGTCAGGTGGTAACTTCGGGCTAGAGACAAGTAAACCCTCTGAGTTGTATTTATGATGTGGATAAATATATTTTCTTGGTATTTAAGTAACTAAATTCTTCAATTATTTTTCCATTTAAGTATTTGTTTCCATCTGTCTTTAAATGTTTAATTTTTTGAAATGTCATTGTACAAAGATCAAATGTTTGCCTGGTAATAAAATACAATGACTTTGGCATGAATCTGCTTCCAGTGCACTGTTTCTTCTTTGATGCCAGACATTAATCATTGAAATGTTCTGCAGGCATTCCTGACCCTCTCGGAATGAATTCTAATCACATTGGTGACTCCTTAAGATATCTTCTAACACCATCATGTAATGTTATTTTATTTGACCAAATACCTGAAAAATCAATCGGGCTCCCATTAGCTGTACTCTGGCAAATGCCAATTAGCGAACGCTAGCATGCTAACTTCAGATGGTGAACATGGTAAACATACCTGCAAAACATTAGCATGTGTTAGCAACAAGCTCAAAGCACCCCTGCTCTTATGTATGTGACGCAGAATCAGGCAAAAGGCAAACATAACTGATATCTTCTATAATAACTAATGTATTCGTTTTTTTGTATATAAATTATATACTTTAATCCTGTGTCAATTATTTTGTGTCGAGCTTGATTTGATAACATCTGCAACATTAAACTAAACACATTTAAACATCACAATTTTAATGTATTTTATTTTGAAATTGGCCATTCTATTTCACGGTAATATCTCCAATTACTTTACTCAAGTAAAGAATACGTTGACCACTGACGCTCAGACGGAACACAATTTATCTTTATTGTCTGAAATAAAACACCTTCATGGATTCTGTTAAAAATGTCCCAGAATAAAGTGAGAGTTCCTTAATTTGGACTCATAAGGACGTCACATGGAAACAAGTGAGAAACAACAGCTGTTACCTCTGTTCGATGGTTTTCTAATTGTGACACAGTAGAGGACCCTTCAGTTACTCCTGCTCTTAAAAAGCTGGAAACAATCGAGATGATTTGAGTCAACAATTGAGGCTTTGTTCTGGCCTTCAAAGTGAGTGAGTCACAGAGATTATCCTCCCTCCTTCCTTCCTTCCTTCTCACGGCCAGTCTTTACGTTTTTGTCTGGTCCCGTTCAGCCTCAGCTGTTTAACTACATGTGGAAGTGATTTGTCATGAGGGTTAACAGCATGAAACTCATGTTCCGTCACTCTGTCTGCTCTCTCCTGCGGCAGAAACATTTCAACCAGCAAGTTGTCATCAGTCATATCTTGTTATTTAGGCATTTGACATTATTTATGTCTGAGACATGAGGAAACTCATTGTAAATCACCATGAAGTTAAATCAAACATGGAAGAACAAGAAAAGACATCATGGCGTCGTTGGAAAGTCTTCTTGTGGATTGTTCTGACTGGAATATAAATCAAACAAACACATGGCTGCATGTTTGACTATACGCCCAGATCCCCTTTCAAGAGGAATGATGTCACTGCATATCATCCCCTGTGGATTCAGTCCAGTAAATCTGATCTGAGAGAGCAACAAGCAGAGAAAGAGCCTCGCTGTAGAACAAACCACAGTCATTGTAAACAGTGCTGGTTCACAAGCTGCTTAGGTTGTGATTCAGAGTGAACCAGACGAGCTCCACTTTGCTCGGGCCTACATTCCTCAACTCCCTCCTCGTGCCGCGAAAAAATCTTCAACATTTTCAGCGGTTTTTAAATATTTTCCCAGTTCTGCGTTGGAAGAACTTTGCTGTTCTGCACAGACTTCCAACCCATCCAACAGAGTGGGGATGAACTGGAATGTGAGCCAGACCTGATCAGCAGCATCAGAGTTGGACCTCTCTAATGCTCTTTAGGATGAACGGGTTCAAATCCCTGCAGCAGGTTCAAACATGTGCTTAGAATGAATAAAACTGGAGAGTGTGTGGGAGATCTGCTCACTTAGGAACGTATGGAACAATTCAGCCTCTGTTATAGAGTGCTGCAGGGATGATGTACTTGTGGAGGCAAACCGGTGGATCCATCCACAAAATCGACTGAGTATTCCATTCGCTTTGTTGCAGAAAACAAGCAAACATTCATGATGCATTCAATGTTTGCCCAAATGCAAAAAACAACAACATTAGAATAGGCTAAAGGAGGACTAGATTTTTCTATGATGATGTTTTTTAGTCAAATGTTTCCCTAGTTAGCCAACACCTTTTTTTAAGACGCATAGGAGCTTATAAATTCACAAGCAGGGCAACGATATTAACAACACTTTTGAGCTAGTGTTAACCCAGGGTATATGCAGGAATCCTGAAGTCAGATGTAATACATTTTAAGACCTTTTTTAAGACCCTTTCCATACATTTTAAGACCTCATCGCCACTTTGAGTTTTAACCGGTTACATTGGCGACACACTTTACCTCACATTTACTATATACAGTATTGATTGTCCTTCCTCCTTATCTTCCAACCATTTGGACGCAAACTTGCATTTCCCCATAACGATGTTGTTTAACAACCGGCGTAAACGGAGCTTCGCACGCTATCAAGCAGTGAGCGTGCGATGTCCTGTTCAGATGACGTCCAATCCAACGGGATGCCATAAATAAACTACACAGAATCACACTACACACCTACGCAATGATTACATTCAGGCAAACTGTAGAATACAACCTCTTTGGACCATTTATATACTTATTGAAAACAAGCTACAAAATGTATTACCTTGGAAAATGCCCTTTAATACTTTTTAATACTTTTTAATAGCCTTCATTTTCGCTAAATTGATTTATCAACTTTTAATACTTTTGAAGACCCCGCGGACACACCCTGTAACCACAGAGCCTATTTCTAACCAAAAGCCTTTGACTTTGAGAAAAGGAACCTGCTGCTTCTTATGATGATATGGTTTGATCGAAACAGCTAAGATTTGTCCATAAAACACAAAGCAGAAAGATCTATAGACACTTTGTATAGCTGAGAACATGCATTATGACATTTAACATTACAGTCTGGAGTCTCTCTGCTTTGGACACCGCAGAGCTTTGGCTGAATAGAGCTGGTTGGATTGTTATTAGATTTGCAGATATTTAGTCCAATTTTTGGATAAACTACATTTCCATAACACTAATGTTCCGCTATTATTCCGAATATGACAAATTCCGAATTTGATACGGGTAATCTAAATGGCATATTCTGAGTTAGGCCTTTTTCCAAAGAGGCATTTTCCAAGTTGGACAAGTAGATTATGCCAAAGGCTGAAAGATGCGTAACCATGAGAAAAGCTTTATATTTCTGTGTAGAAGGGAAACCCCTTACTACTTACTCACGCAGTATGTTTGTAATGGGGTGATTTATGTTAACTGAAGTATTTAGCTGCATTTAATCGGTAATGTAATTGAAAAGTAATTGTCATTAGCCATGTAAAAAGCGTAATAGGAATATTGTGAACGTGTTTACTGTGACCTCATGGTGTTGCTAGATGAAATGTCACCAAAGTCATTACGGTACATCCTGAGGGAAACACAAATGTCTAACCAAAAATGTAATGGCAATACATCCAATAATGGTCGAAACATTTTACAAAAAAACCCAAATGTGAACGCTAAGGGAAAAGTCAGAGGATCCCTAAAGTCAGTAGGAGTCATCCTCAGGGGAACATGAATGTCTTTAATAATATTTCAGGCTCTTTTTTGCTATTTCACTCAAAATGTTCTTAGTTTGTTTCCCACGAGAACTCAGAGTTTGTTAGAAGGGGAACAAACGACCCATCAGCCTTTGTGTCCAGCTGTTTAAGAAGCCCGGACAGGAAACCGAGATGATGGCAGCTCTGTCTGACTCGCTTGTTCTCACTTGAGACCAAAATACACGAGTGAACTGCTAACCGACGTGCTTTCTGGGGAAAAACAATGCAAGACTTCTCAGTAGAGACGCTCAGAGAAGCTCCCACAACAGACTTCATTGAGAACAAATATAACTTTTCATCATTATGCAATCCACATAATAACCGTACTGATATAAAGTGCACTTTATTTGTTGCAAAAATAAAGCAATACATAGGAATTCATTCAAAATGATATTCACATTTACATGCAGTGTTTCCCCGAGGCCCTGTCGCACACACCCTCGGGACTGGAGACAAACAAAGAAGTATGTAAGTGTTTCAGCCACACACAGGTCATCTGTGTACCATTCACACATAAGGTTTTGAAGTACAGTGCAAAGTGATGGAAAAAGATGACCCTTGTAGAAGGCACAGACTGGCTTTAGATGCAGTTTAGGGACTGTATATCAATAAGCAAATCTTCCCCCCTCATATCTCATAATAACATAACAGTGATTCAATTGTACGACAATTCTAGTTGCTACAAACTAGAATAAATAAAATAGCTCTGTTTGCAACCTATGATCGTGGCTTAAATCTAATTTAATTTACAATGTCTATTTGTTAAAAGTAACCCTCTTGGAAAATTGACAATAAATAATGTTGAAATGATATCTAAATGTACATAGCTAATTTAATATGGTAAGGTAAGGCTATACATGTAAGCAGAGGTGGGAGGTGCCTAAGTACATTTACTCAAGTACTGTACTTAAGTACCATTTTGAGATGTTTGTACTTTACTTGAGTATTTCCATTTAATGCTACTCCACTACAATTCAGAGATCAATCGTGTACTTTCACTCTTTTACTTTACAGATGTGGATGAATGATGTGAAATATAATCGAGTCTTAAATCAGACTTTAGTTCCACTTGGAGTAAATCCACAAGCTACCCTGCAGTATACAAAGTCATTCAAACTAGCTGCACCTTTACCAGCTTTGAGAACACTTTCATGATCAATCATTATAAAACATATCATATATATTATTCTGAAATGGACCAATCTGCACAATGACTACTTTTACTTTTGGTACTTTAACTATATTTTGATGCTAATACTTTTGTACTTTGACTTGAGTAACATTCTGAATGCAGGATGTTCCTACACTATGGTACTTCTGAGTACTTCTCCCATCTCTGCATGTAAGACACAATTTAGATATTATGGAAATACGGAAATGTACCCTCATTGAATTCTCCTTAAATACCCCTTACTTACATACAGTCCCTTTCACAGACATTCAATAAATATTAATATACATTTTCAAATGAGCACCATTTTGCCCACAGGAAGACGTGAGCAGGAAAAACTTTTTTTGACTAACTGTACCGGCAGTTAAATAAATGGAGACTTTTTTTCCACCCCATAATCACTTTTCTACAGCCGCATGGAGCTGTTGGTCATCAAAGACATTCTCAGTCGGTGAAGCCGCGGTCACTCACGTATCAAGACAAACGTTTTTGGAATCTGTGACTCACATATGACCCAAAAAGGATCGCTCTTTTTCCATATATTCGACTATGCTGGAGGTTTTTCTGCTTTAGTTAAGCTTGAGACTTTCATGTGAGTCTGAATGTCTGTGGCTTCGCTGGGGGCAGAGGAGGGGGGCTAGGCTTGACTCTGGCAGCAGGAGGGGGGCTAGGCTTGACTCTGGCAGCAGGAGGGGGGCTAGGCTTGACTGGAGGTACAGGAGGAGGAGCTGGTTTGGCTGCATTCAACTGAAAAACAAACAAGATGACAGTTAGACAATCATATATATATGAAGTAGCCATGTATGGAGCTTTGTGGAAAACATGTTTCTGTGATTTTATTTGGACCCCAAAAAAGAAAGGGAGTCTTAGCCATTATTGTTAATGGCCAGCAACTGTACGATAATACTCAAGTGATTCCCAGAGTAGTCACTCCCATGTTACAGTAGCATGAGAAACAGGAAATGGATAAAGAACTCATGTTAAAGAAGCTAAAACAAACACATGTTTGGCTTCATGAAATAACATAAATCATTGATCTCTTGTCAAAATAGTTCACTGATGAGCTTTGGCACTACTGAACAGTCTTTTAAAGTGAACTCATCCTCTGCAGAGAGCCTGGTGAGAGCAGCTGTAGGTGAGACTCACCTGAGGTTTACTCAGAGGAGGCAGAGATGGAGGTAGAAGTTTTGCCTGTGGTAAAGAAGAACATATGTGTTATTGTTTTATCTCCTTAAACACATAAACCCAGAGTTAACAACAGTTTAAGAATAAATGATGTACCAATCCCACAAAGACCATACTAGTGCTGCTAATACTCACTACAGCACCAAACATTGATTACTTTTCTGCTGAAAATAGTCCCCAACAAATGCACAATATCCCCCTGATTGAGTGACGTTGGATAAAGACTACAGTTGGCCAGCTGTTTAACCTACCTTCTGAGAGTACTTCAAAAACTATTAAATATTTGTGAGCTGTTTTGAAAATAACTGTTCAGTAGGAATGTACACAGATCAACACAATGTTTGCTTTAGTCGTTTCGTGGGATTTGTTGACTCTAAGAAAAGAATGCAGGTTCCCCCTTTAAGCAGTTACACACCACATGTCCGTCTCAAACAGAGATTGCCATAGCTTAAATAAATTAGACGTAAGCAGCCGTCTTAAGACGCCAACCCTGAATATGATCTTTAGTTTGCATTATGCATTAGATCAAATAGCAAGCTGTTGTTTTTGTAATCTTACCGGCTCAGTTTGTGCTGTAGGAGAGACTGGAGACAGTTTCTTTGGTGTCTGGAAGAAAAAGGCAATTATTAACCATCACAGTACTTTGCATTGGCATAGCAACCTTTCCAAGCTATTTGACTGAAATGACACATGAGTTAATGATTTTTGAAAATGTGTTTCCATGAGTAATCCTTTTTGTAGCGGTGCTGTCTGTACCTGTGGAGCGGCTCTGCTGGGAGTCACGGTAACAACCAGAGGAGCGTAGGCTTGTGTTGCTGTTGACGCCATGAAAGTGGGCGCACTGATCTGAGGTCTGTCTTTAACACTCCCGTCCTGAGACATCGGGTTCAGCTTGTCTGGAGCTGAATGCACTTTCCTGTTAAAAAACAAAATATATTGAACTGGAATGTGGAAGACGGAAACCGAGAAAACAGACAAGAGAACACATTTTAGGATGAATTACCTTTTGTAGGTGTAGTTGTCCGTGTTGTCCTTTTTACAACACATCAGCCCTGCAGTCACCGCCGTGATGGTCAGGAGGATGGAGAGAGCTGCACACACTCCGGCTATTATCCCACTCTGAACTGCAGGCAGGGAAATCAAACTGTTACAGAGCCACATTGTACACAGTATCTCTGTTTTTACAGCTTTATGTGCAAAGTCCTGTCGCCACAGTTTGACTGTTTGCAAACATGTTGAGGGGTTAGAACATGACTCTTTAAAAACACAAACATTGGTGTGAAGTGAACAAATAACATTCTACAATTCAAAAAGGATCATGTTAAAACAAGGAAATTGTTATAATACTAAAGAGAGCAAATACAGAATTTCCTCTTGTGGTTTTGATGAAGTGGCTTCTTCTAAAAACGAGAAGGAAGCTGATATGTTGCTCAGAAAAACAGTTGGGTAATTTCCAAGTACTGTATATAAAGGCATATTTATACTTTTTTTCAAAATACCAAACAGATCATGCATTTTAGCCATGCCTCATTTCGCTCAATTTGAAATTTTTTAGCTCTGTTTTTGCAGGGGCAGATTCAGTGAGAACAGCACCATCTACTGGCCTGGCATATGTACTACAGCGTCTCCAGCACTTTCGAACGGCAATGGCCGTGGCTGTCTCCTCCTGATTGGTGGAGTTGGCCCAATAGCCGTAGCGCCACCGTCCTGACGTCAGGACAGTGTTCAAATCTGGATTCATAATTTGAAAAAGGATTGATTCGAAAATAATATGCTACAGTACAAGTAGCCTACTTCTGGGTCTCTGTGTTTCATTCAAGCTCTGCTCTGTGTGTGTGTGGCACGAGCCATTTTGTGTGCGTGCGCGAGAGAGCGAGAGCGAGAGCGCGCACCGGTACCGGAGATCGTTGTGGTTAGCATCTGGTGCTAGCTACGCTAACTGATATAAGGAGCTTTTTCAACAACAAGGTGGAGGGAGAACTCTCTCCTGTCGGACTGAGAGTCTCGGATAACCTCAGCTCAGGTGAAGTAAAGGACTCTCTCAGTGTTTAGATAGTTCACTTTAGTCTAAGTTATCTCAGTGGGTCTCAAAACGGTTTGGTCACCATTAATCTAAATAAGTATTTCTGAGGCACACCTTTATATGATCATTATAGGTTAGTATAAAAAAATAAGAGCATAAATGAAAAACAGTTATGAAATACTATATGACAGTAAAACAAGAATACACTTTAAAAGGGGAGTGATTTGTAAAATATCCATAAAGAAATAGTAAACCGGTTTACAGTTCTGTTTCATATGGGTGTTGAGAGATGTATCCATACTGTAGATCTCTCCATGTTGCTCTCAAAGTGATGCTTTTAATTTCAATATTTAAAAAAAAAATCTTCCCGGGGAGCATGCCCCCGGACCCCCATAGAGGAGGTGAGGACCCCCCTAGAGGAGGTTAGGTCCACTCCCCACTTACGAAAATAGCACTTTACCCCTGCTTACACCTATATGCCGTGAGCTGATTATCGAGTCTTCATTGTAACAGTCGCAGGTACACTGTGTGTGTGTGTGGGGAGTGTTGCAGTAGAAAGTTCCACTGTAGCAACCGGTACATTAATGGGAAACCCTACATGTTTGAGCACCCTCTATGAAACGTCAAGCTACCCCACAGCACCACCAAAAGAAAATATCTGGCGCCGCCACTGGTTCTAGTGAAGAAAGTGTGGCGCCAAGATATTTAAAAACTGATGACCGCAAAGTGTCTTTCCTTCCTACAGTATTCATTTCGTTTTTAGCTGTTAACTGTGAAGAATAAATAGTTTCTTAACTACTGTAGTTTGCAAATGCGATGTCACATGTGAAAGGCAACTTCCTATAAGTTGATAAACGGAAAAGTGTGGCTTGAATGACAATTGTGACTCCTAATAATAACTGAGGTCACCAAGATACATCAAGAACACTTAGGTCAGTTAGAAGAAATAGCAGATCTCTCATAATGAATCATTTATGTTTCTTACTGGAAGAATGATTCATGGAGCAGTTGGGACCTGTTTCTGTCTGAGCTGCTCAATGAGAGCTCACGGTTTAAACCAATATTACATTTTGTATTTAGCTGCTCACAAAATTGGACTTTGCATATATCTACTGTCATATCAGATCCAGAGAAGTGTCCTGTACCTTGAGGTAAATCTGCATACTGGATGTCACAGTAGGGTGGAGCCCAGCCAGGGTTACAGTGGCACTCGTTCTTGTGGTTACACACCTGAATATAAAATGCAAATACATTGGTTAAAACACGAGTCAAGCACTTGGACTTTGGTCCAGAGAAGTCCAATTGAAAACAGCTGCAAGTGATTTTAAACCCAAAAATAACTCACTTACCCCATTGTTGTTGCATTTCTTTGAACAGTCCTCCTTTTTCCCATAAACTGACATATCCACACATCTGTTGTCAAGGCAAACCTGCACACAAATGTTTGATTCTGAGCAAAACATCCATCATAAGTCACAAAACTCCACGTAATGCGTCTCCCAACAGGTTTTACCTTGTTTGGTCCGCATTTGGTTCCTTTTGGCACCATGTCGATGTTTCTGGTCTTATCGTCATCCACTGCTAGTTTACATTCTAAGCCGAACAAGCGGAAGTCTGCCCTTTTACCTGTGATGGACTCGCCTCCTCCTTCACAAAACATAGACCCACACTTCAGATTCCTATTAAAAAAACAAAAATGGTCAAGAGCTTGTTGACAGATTACAACATTGCACAAACTAGCCTCAAACAGTCAACATGCCTTACAGATGTCTTCAGTACTTTGCAGTTACATTCTGTGTGCTAGGTTTCCTTCAGGGGCATTTTGAGATCAAATAAAAAAGTAAGCCGTGCTGTGCTTTCAGCAGAAAGTTCAGTATAAATGTTGAGTATACGTACGGCGCAGTGCAGGGGATGTAGCTGAATTTGTCCCTTCCACAGTTTGCACCTTCTTCGCCCCGTTTGTTCAGATTAAAACACACATCTGATCCAACTCTGGTCCCTGAAGATAGAAGATATTCTTAGTTAGCATTTTAAAGTACTGCATGGAAGCCCATCAAAAAGAGATTAAAAGAGATTATAAAAATGAATCGAAAGTATGAAATATCCTAATCTCCAAAATTGAAGTTTAATTTATGAACTTTCTATTTGTCTTTTACACTTATATCTTTACCCACAATGTTGCCTTACTTTAAATAGGTCACAGCTGTAATTTCCTTAACACGTTCAGACATTGTAAAATAAGAAGATTTTAGGGGATCATTTTAGGGCTTAAAAGGGACTTATGTTCATTTTCAGGTTCATATTTGTATGTAGTGTCTCTACTGTGACATGTTTACATGTTTAATGTTCCAAACGTGCTTTATTTTCTCATACTGCCTGTGCTGCAGCACCTCTTTTCACCCTCTGTCTGAAACCAGAGCCCAGTCTGCTCTGATTGGTTAGCTGGCCGGCTCTGTTGTGATTGGTCAACCGCTAAGAGATGTCCTGCCCTTTTGCCTATATTGGCACTAGCCAATAGCAGCACAAGTGTTACATAGTGATGTCACCATGTTATGGAAGTAAACAAAAGAGTCCAATATAAAATGTCTTTGCAGACACATGCACACAAACCTACATAACGCACTACAGGAAAGGGGAAACTCCAAAAAGCATAATAAGGCCTTATTCAGAGTTGGAGTGTTATATAATGTTGGGATATCACGAAAGATGGACATTTTAAAAACACACTTATGTAGATGCGGGGAGTTTTCTTTTCTATGAGAGAGTAATATTCATTCAATTCCCTGTAGTCCTTTTATTTAAAACAAATGCACACTATTAAAGTAACCTTTTTAGAACGAGCCATATGACACTGAAATTCACTGATACTTCTGTGAATTTCATATTAATATTAACTTATGCCCCTTGAGGCGTAGCTTTTTTATGTAAGAAAAACTGAAAGCAGTGAAACCTGTGTGTTTGTGGGGAGCGTACCTGGTCCAAACAGCCTCCAGCAGTGCTGCTGATGTGTGGGGCATTGTCCGTTGGAGCAGTAGCCCTGCGCCTGGTCGTAGCACGGCTTGCCGTTCATCTCAAAGCTGTCTTCAGGACACTGCTCCGACTCTCCGGTGCAGTATTCAGGCAAGTCACAGTCACTGGCTGACTTTCTGCATACGCCTCCTGCCGGTTTGAGCTGTGGGTTTAAGTTAGGGTTAGGGGATTCATTAGGCATAAAGAGATAGGTCAAGTTTGGCTGGAGTGAATTTCAATCAATCAATCACATTTGATTGATATAGCCCAAGACTTCCACCACCTCTTCCAGTCTTTGAAACTGTCATTAGAGGAAGGATGTGGTGTGTCAAAGCACATGGGCACAGCAGGATATCACCCTCTGTTTCCTGTTATTATCCTACTAATGCTGTTTGAATGTGGTTTGAAGAGTAACCTCCTCCTGGTGCTATTATAATGCCCACAGTTATTAGTCAGAAGCAGGGTGTGTCTGTATCATTGGTCTTTTGGTGCATTCAATGTCCACTGATGGTGGAGATCATCTGGCTTTCACAGTGTAAAGGTTTCTTTTAGCCTTTCTGCCGGTAATGTTGTTTGAGTTTCAGTCTGTCAGAAAAATATCACTGGTCACTGGCTTGAGCTTCAATATCAGGATGTATGTATTTATTATCCTCTCAAGAATGGAAGTAGTCATCACATACAGAGCATTTGGCACGACTAGTTCCTGAACAGTGTCCTTCACATGCTGATATACAAGAGAGGGTGTATCACAGTCACAAGATGGAGGAATACCGGTTCAAAGCAGTATTCAATGTTTAGATTAGCTAAGGTCCACGTCAGAAAGGATCATGCTTGTCATATCTTTATCTCCATAGAGGCTGAATCATCATGTTAATCGTTGTCACATAGCTATCATATTCCTAAAACAATGTGTCCTGATGCTCTTCTAGGTAATCATACATCCTGTTACGTACACAGCTGCAGATGGGCCTCTGTTATCATGTGCTACTCTGATATTGAAGGAGTTCATTCAGTATTTTCCCAACAGTGTACTAAAAACGTTTGGATGAAGTGCTATGAAATGTACAATTGACATTCATATATAAAGTAAAATTGGGTTTGTTAATCCTCTGACTCCTCTCTAAGTGCAAACGGCAACGGTGTGAATACATAAACATCTGTTAGATGGACTGGCAATAAAAATAGTTTAAACATTCGTTATCCCCAGGTGATGGACCCTAATGAGTTTGGTGATCCTCTGCCATTTCCTGTAGTGCCTCCTTGAGGTTAACATTTTGGATCCTATTTGGGTGATCCCAAGACTTTTTCAAAATTGTAATTTGTCCAAGACTATGGTTTGACAACAAATATATATTTAAAACAAAAAACAACTTCCCACCAGTGTAGTCTTAAGTGCTACTAAGCACATATTAGCATTCTAACACAATTAATATAGTAAAGTTGAACCTGTGTATCATCAGAAGCATGTTAGCATGCTGATGTTAGCATTTAGCTCAGACTACAGCTGTAAAGCATCACAGTGCTGCAATCTTGGAAACATATTCTCTTGTAAAATGGGCCTCAGCTTGAATTTCACAAAGCAACTGTGATTACGCAGTTTTTTTTATCTAAAGTACCTGGCAGTTGTTACAGCATTCTCCCTGAGCACACTGGGATCCTTCAGTCAGGCGACAAGTCGAGGCATCACAACAAGGGTTCTGACATTCCTGGAATAAAGACAATCTTTTTCACTGATCATGTTTGTTTATACAACAGGAATTACAATCATGAAAGTTTAAACAGATCAGATTTCAATCTTCAACACAAGCAGTTTATTTGCCAAGGCTAGTGTCTCTCTGATGTAAGCCAACAGGAAAACTATTTTCATTTTTGAGGCCAAATTCCAGCTTGGGATGCTATGAATCACCACTGCCTTCCCTTTTATTAGCTGTAGACTGGCACACAGGAAACCACACCAGTCAGCAAAAACAGAAAACCCAAAGGGTGCTTCCTTCACCAAAGGTTATATTTAAACTTTCCAAGGTTTCAAAAATGACTGTTCCAACTAGTGCCATTAGCCTCAGACACTGCTGAAAGATTTACCTCCACAGGGCCGCAGTCACACTCCTCTCCGGGGTCCAGGAGGTTGTTGCCGCAGCTAGGACCTGCAGCGATGTTCGTAATGGAGCTGGGTCTGGACAAGCAGCTGGGCTGCGCCCGCGCCATGAACTCGGCTAGCTGCTCCACACTGCAGCCGCTGAAAAACTCTGGGAATGCTTGATTTCCTGTCCTGAAGAAGAGTAAATAGATTCAGCTTTGCCTACGATAAAATGCATTTTTTTTATTAACAGTAAATATACTTAATGGCCAAAAGCATGTGGACTCCAGAAGACAGTGATTGCTTAATCGTTTATTCACAGTGATTTTTTGGTTTTTTAAATCATAAGATGCAGCATGATGGACTTAAAGGTCCACTTGCAGTGACATCCTTACCTGAGTTTTTCTGCCATCACACAGTTCCCACTGCTGTACGATGGACCACACATACAGCCTTCAGCATCATGTGACAAGCCAAAGTTATGTCCCATCTCATGAGCGATGGTAGAGGCAAGGCCTATTGGGTTGTCATGGTGATCCTGGATAAGAAAAGCAGAGCTGTTGCTTTAAATTCAGATGGATGGTTCATACATTATTAAAAACACTCCCTTCTGCTCCAGTCGTTAAATTATAATTGTAAGTAATGGGTCATCATTTATACCTGATTGACTCCACCTGAGTTTCCGGTACACATGGCAAACTTATTTGCCAGTCCAACTGTGTCTCCGTCAAAATCTTTGCCACTGTTGAGAGAAAAAAGCCAAACATCAGGTAAAACTGGAAACATCACTGTGTTTAACATCTGCACAGAAATGACGGACTGATCCTCACGTCACAAATTGGGCATTGTCGTGCTTGATCCTCTTCAGAAGATCGGCCTGCCGCCACAGGAGGAAATGGTCCAGGGTGGTCTCTGAATTAGTGTCAACATCCATGTAGTCTCTGTACGTCCAAATCTCCAAGCCCACCAGCATGACGCGAATGTTCAGAGCTCGATACAGCTGCAGGCAGAGGAATCAACGTTAGTCAGGAGTGAATGAGCTGAGAGCTGCTGGCTAAGAGCCCTGATAGAACGACCCTAGGCAAACAGGTTCCAAACTAGAAATTACCTTGTCAATGTGATTTATAGCTCCGAGGAGCCGGGACTTAGTCTCGCTTCCATATAGCTTATACTAGAGGAAGAGAAGAGACACACATGATCAGGTTCATATATCCAGCCATCCATTCATTCTCTGCCGTTAAGGTAGTCCAGGCATCCTTCTCCCCAGCAACATTTCCGACTCCTGCTAAGGAATTCTGAGGCCAGATGGGATAAAGAATATACCCAGTCTTTTCTAGGTCCACCCGAACTCTTACCAGTTGGACATTCTTGCAAAACCTCCAAATGGATGCACCCAAGAAGCAACCAGAAAAGGTCCTAGAGCTTCTTCAAATGCCCCCTTTTGCCCCCTTTTGGCTACACTTCAAGCACCTTCCTGATGTCTGTGCTCCTCTCCCTATTTCCCAGCCATTCAAAAGAAGAAATTCATTTTGGCCACCATTCTTTAAATCAGCCTCGTTCAAGGTTAATCCATCGTTGCACATGCGAGCGAAGAAGTTAGTCAGAAGATTTTACAGAGACTCTACAGTAGGTAGTATCTTTTTATGATCCCATCATGAGACACAGAGGCACCGGATACTCTGAACTTATCTCAGGGCATTGGCACAAACAAAGACTTCCTCTCAGTAACCGACTCTCTGCTTCTTCGGTGAACACTCCAACACAGCAGCAGCACATGAGCTTGGAATCAAACACCCAATGGCTCTCAACCTCGGCGACTCTGGAGAAGAGTCCAGCCCCTCTCTTGGGTTAGGGTTACAGACCCAGTGGATTGTGTAGAGGTGAACCCAACTATATAGAGTTGGTATCGTTTATCCTCTCCATCTCTTTGTTCTTCTACGCAAGAGAAGTGACGTTCCCACTCCTTAGAAGCAATTTGTGATGCCAGGAATCAGCACACTTAGGTCGTGGACTTTGTCTGCTGACCATCACCAATGGCTATTGCGCGTGGGCATGCATGGGGGCAATTCCATCAAGTTATTTCGGCAAGTCCCCTATCTCGTGGCCCAAGGACCAACTTCATTACATGGAAGTCACAGTTGTAAAAGAATAAAAATAAGGTATTTACCTCAGTATTGTCCACCACCACAAACAGCTCGACGAACTTCTGTGGACCTGCAATGGGTTTGGTTTTCTGAAGACAAGAAGGAATCAGAAATACAGCTTTTATATTTATATTCTTATTTTAAAGAATAAACCGTACATGTATTTATGGTTTACTATGAAATCATACCCATGATCTGGATCTGAAGAGGTTGGAGAGCCGCGGGGCCTGGTCCTGGTCGTACAGCGGGGGGGTGTTGGACGAGGAGTTGATGGTCTTCAAGTCCTCCGGTCTGTACACTGCATGGCCCCCATCCTCAGACTGTCCCAGAGGCTCTATCAGGTACACCTGCTGCTGGGCTCTCACATAGCCACTGCAAACACAGACAACTGTGGTTTAAGAAAGTCCTCAGAATGACATTTCAAAACACAATCAAAAGATAACAAATGTACTAAGAAAACTGTTATAGTGCAGGGAGGGTGAAGTAATACGATAAGGTTACCTCAATTCAATAGTGAAGCAACATTTCACAAGAATACATGGTTTTAGAAACTGCTATTGGAGAAATGTTGAGTGGAATATTACAAATAGGAAGTTTAAAGCTGTAAGAATATCCAGATGTTCTTACCTAATGCCTGAACAAATCCCAACACTGACTGAAGAGTCCTTCATGCCTTCAATGTGACCCTGATAGTAGCAGTGCTCCTGGACAGGAATACATTCATCAGATGAAAGATATCAGTGAGTAAAAGGACTCACAAAGCGCTTCTTTGTTCCTAATGACCATGAAATTGTGAATCACAGGTATGGAATTGTCGATCTTTATCGTGTTGGGTTCACGTTGAGTCAAAAGTACTGGTAAGGTGAAATGAGAAGTTCCACATGAACTTTTAAGGTAAGGTATACACATTTTTAGATAATGATGTGGTATTTAGGTTAACTAATAGATTGTGAAAGCTAACTCACCTCATTAGGCGATGTTGTAACCCGTTTCCCATCTTCTAAATAGTGTGTCTCAGTGTAGCCTTTCCCAATGAGATCCCTAAAATAAATAATCATTTCAAATATTCACATACATGTTTAAAAGTGATTAAAAAGAGAACATGTGATCAACAAAAAAAGGTTTACCTGTTTCTTTCCAGATTCATTGTGTGGTTCCTCCCTTCAATGGCTAACTGGTATTGAATCGTGTCAGGATAAAGCTGTTGAGAAATGTCCGTCAGTCATACAACAACTATAAATAACTGTAACAATTACACTCATTAACTATAATGGAAGCACTCACATCATTCATTTGTGTAAAATTAGCAATGCCACAGTAATAAAAACCATTTCTGCTACAGGTAAATGTGAATTATTGGTGGAATAATACTGTATTTTTTCATATAATAGCCTATTATTGGATTACTGTTAGTGATGCACAAAAGTGTCCCCATGACCAATTGTGATAAATGAATGTAAATATTGATCTACACGGAGCGTGCTTTTTCTCTGACATGCGGCTACAGATCAAGGGCACATCTAATCCAGTTAATACAGCAATTGTTTCACTGAATTCAGACAATAAAATCAACTATTTCCTGTGCGTAGACAGAGAATAGAGTAATATTGTAAGATAGATGATAGTATGCTGCTTCTTTCAAGCTACACACTGTTTTCCTGGTCCAACCCTAAGACGTTTTAAACACATTGACCTGGTTAGATCAGCGAACAGCTGTGAGTTGAGTTACTCCATTAAACCAAGTATCAATCAAGACTCAAATGAGCTCTTACTAGGAAATTAGATTGTTATTATTTATTTGAAGTTTTATTTAATGGACGTACAGTGAGGCTATAGGACACAGTTTACATATTAAAGATATGTTTAGATGCAAAGTGTAGTAACTGGAACTCTTTGAATTCAAACTGAACAGCCCTGTCATAGCTAGAGAGGAAGAGGAACCTAACTTTAGCGAGTTTACTTGATATACTGTTGGTAGTTTCATCTATAACGCAGTGGTGGAAAGTAGATAGAACAGCAACAATCCTGCATGCACAGTCATTCATCAGTAGTACTACATTGTAATAATAATATGTATTAATAAAGACAAACAGGAATGATCTTTAGGGAGTTTTTGCTGTAAACACTGTTGAGCATATCCAACGAGATGATCCTATAGTCTGTGTTATAGGTGAGGCAGGAGGGGTCACCTGGTTGTCCTGCAGGCTCCTCTTCTGTCGGCCCTGGAGTCTCCGAGGTGTGACCACCTCATATCTCTCCACATGAGACAACATCGCAGAGCTCTGCACGAGACACACTACACACACAAGTAACACTATTACTCATATAAAGCCAAAAGATCTGAACTTTAAACTGAATCTGTTTTACAGACTTCTAAGAGTAATCCTAGAAATCTGTAAAAGAACATATGAGCTGATTGATATTCCCTCTTTCTTGTGGTGGACTGTAAGTAAATTAATTTACTTAAAAACGTAGTTATTTGTACTTTAGTCTTTTACAAATATCTACTCCACTATATAACATTTTACTTATTTGACAACACTTAACAAATTAGGATATTTACAGACAAAACATACGAAGAATTAAAAAATATGATCTTTGTAATTTACCAAACTAGCAGTTTATACAAGTACAGTTCAAACTATTAGGTAATTAGCCTATTGACAGAAAAAATCAGCAAAAAGCCGTACAGTGTCCAAGCTGCACCAAAAAAGATCTGCTGCTTTCCTTTTCATTATTTTAATCAAGTTAACACATTAGTAATAGTTTTGAGCATCGTGAAGGTATAACTTTAGGGTATGGGTAATTGTGAGGACCTTACTTGCTTTTTACAGTATTTTTAGCAATTAATGGAGAAATAGTCAGTAGATCAATCAATAATAGAAATAAGGTAATAGTTCAAAATGAGCTCCCTCTTAACTGCAACTGTAAAATGCTGCTTTTACATGATGCATTAGTACTAATAATTAAGTTCTATAATATAATATAGGCTACTATAATAGTAAAGGGAACATGTTTCTACTTTTAACATTTACAGTTACACTTACATACTTTTTTAGTAAAGAAGCATTTGTTGGAGATTACTTTTACATGTAAAAGAGTATTTTCTAAAGTTTTATAAGTCATTTTACCTTTTTAAATAAAGGAACTATTGCGGACAGCACATTAACAGCTTTTTATCCAAACTCTCTTAAACTTTGTTGTATTTAAGCAGGACAATAGCAGATGTTCTTATATTAGAAGTGTGAGAGAACCTACCCCATATCAGCCAAAGTGAGACCATGTTCGTCCCCATGATGGTGCACTCTGGTCAGTCACTGGCTCTCCTATCACAGTGAACATTACCACACGGTGAATCATCGACACCAGCAGCCTTCCGTAGCAGCCCCGCCTCCGGTGACTCTTTATCGCCGCCTCGCAGATTACCGGAATAAAACCGTCAAGCGTGCTGATAAGAAACAACACCCAAACTACTTCCGGTGGAGTGAAATATTTGAAAAATAAAAGCACTTTACTGATAATCAATATAAGCACACGGTAGTACGTGAGTTAATGTAGATAGCTAACAATAACTTTAAATGCAACTCTTAAGGTAAATTGTATTTTTGGAGTGCAAATTCTTAATATTTAACTATTAATTAATGGAAACGAAAAGGCTAAAAGGACCGGAAGCAGTAACGATGCTGAATAGTTGGCAGCCATTGACACCTTCTGAGTCACAATAACTCTATTTATGGAAAGAAAAAAATACTTGTAGGGTTATTATCGTCTTTAGCGCTGTACTACTGTGTGTAAAGTATACAAATACAGTTTATATAGTACAACATGAAAATAAATCTTTATGGTGGGATTTACAGTGTTAGGCAGATGTTAAGAGTCTACATTTATTCAGTAAAGCCTTGTTTTAATGAATACAAACATACATTTTTATTTTACAGGTACAATGAGTTACCCATTAAGAGTGACATTTCGGTACAGTTTCAACATTTCTTAAAATGTACAATTTGAAGCATTGAAATGAGGATGCAAGCCTTAGAATGTAACGCTACATTTTCTTCAGTACATAATATATAATATACACACTGAAGCATCAGTTATTTTGTCTTTATGGTAACTATCTGCATTAGCAGGGAGTGGTGGACACACATGAGGAAAGGACGTTTATATTGCTGCTTGTTACAAAGTCATAACATGCTACGCTGAAGCTTTCTGGCTCCGCTCTATGGCCATCTTCTCCAGCCGCTCGGTGTAGAACCCATTGAAATCCAGCCTGTGAAATCATAGGAGCTGAGTTAGCAAAGTATTTAGCTAAAACATGCATTTTGTAATGGATAATCTGCACTAGCTCAGTCTATACGAAATAATGTTCATACTTAAATTAATGGTACAGCTCTGTATGAGGTATTGTAGGTTAAAAAAAGTCTGAGGAGTGGGGCAATATTTACAAAAAAACTAAATTAAAACATTTTTAATTTAGGAGAAAACAACTTGAATATTCTGTGATATTTAAGTGGCAAATTACGACGAAAATACAATATTCTGTGAGATTATTAAGTCATTAACACTGGATACTAAACTAGTACAGTACACAGAAAAAAATGTTTAACCTACAATGGCCTTAATATGTTGTCGTAGCGTAAAAAAATAAAATGTTTTGAAGGCGAGACAATAAAGGCAAACACTGGTTCGCTTTGGAACAGGTAGTGGCCTTATCAAGTATTATAACACATTATATTGTGCAAAAAGACATTTAGTTGAAACTGTACGTACCTGTAGATGATGCTGATCATGCTGTGCTCGCAGTCGTTGGTGCTGTAGATGCTCAGCTTGTCCAGCAGGTCCAGCAGCAGCGTGCTGAAGTTGCTGTCAAACTTGCTGATGCTGGTTTCAAAGCCTGCGTCTGACTGGAGGATGTCTGCATGCTCAGATAATAACTGAAGCAGGGAGAGAACACAACCGTTTAACTCAGAAGCTGCAGATCTTTGTACACCAGTCATTTCATATTGTCTGGTTTGGATGGAACATTTCTGATGTTTTGGAGTCATGTTTTTGATGATCTATTGGAAATACCTTTGTGTTCAGCCTCTTCTTCTCTGCCTCCTCAGCATGTTCCCTCTCAGTGGGAGGCCCATCCATAGTCCCCTGCTCCTTAGAGAGGCGCTCCAACCTCTTGCTCTGAGTGAACCGCTTTAAAATACAAAAGGAAAAAACATCTTAGTAACAGGATCTTCCCCTCATTGTTGTATTTTCCAGGAGCAGAAAGAAGACACTGTGGGTGTTTCTCAATCGCGAGTACGCTTGCTTGGTAGCACATGTCTTCCGAGTCACTTGCTTCAGAAGCGAGGCAATTCCTGGCATTCGGAAAACGAAGAATGGAACAGGCTAGCAAGTGTGCAGGTGTGCGTCATGCGAGAGGCCCCGCCTTACATTTTCCGCCACAGATTTGGGGAAATTGGTCCGTGCGCAAAGCATTGTGGGGATTTTAAGACCGCGGAGTCTACTCATGTGCAGCCTCGAAATTTCTCCAAACGAAGTACGCCGGACTCGGTAGAATTCCAAGTATGCTGGACATTGGAACAGTCCTTCGGCGGCACTCGATGACGTAGTATGCTTGAAATAGTGGCTCTGCAGCAGCTTTACTCGAGATTGAGAAACGCCCCCTATTCAGAAATATTTTCTCTTTATCCTCCTGTCAACAAACCTGCATGCAGCTTGTGAACATGACGCAGACGGACATGAGTTTGGAGAAGATCCTCAGGAGCTCGGGGTTAGTCAGCATGCAGTCTTTCAGGCAGTTATCCAAGAAGCTGGTGTGATGGCAGAGCACGTCATCGATGTTTGACGCCTGCAGAAGACAGGAGGTTAGAACAACAACAAAAATGCCAGCTGTTAGCTAACCATCAGCTGGCTGTCAGCTAACTGTGATGTTGTTAGACTAAAAAACATTGACAGTAGGATAACAGCGAGGACCTGGTTTCACTCACTGTTTTCAGGTTGTTCTCCATGATGTGCCAGGTGGGCTCCATCACCTCAAACATCATGTAGTACTGGATGTTCTGCACAAAGTTGAGCATGCGCTGTCGCAGGGCAAAGGCAGCAGCAAACCTGCAGAATGAACAGTGTGAGGACATTTTTCTGGTAGAGATTTTTACATAAATTCACTTTATATCAACTCACCATTTGGCACAATGTGAAGAGTACAGCTTGAAATCTTTGTTGCAGATCCACACGTTGCACAGCAGCCTCTCGACGTGTTTGCAGTAAAAAATGTGTCTGAACAACATCTGGTACCTCGTCAGGGCTTTCCTGGAAAATTCATACAAGTACAAAGGGTGTTTAATTGCATATATGCTTCCAGGGACACATTCCTGTCAATCTGGGATACTGGAAAAACAAAGAAGAATTCCTTATATGTCTACTTAATTTTTGTTAAGTACTTACTTGTGAATTTATTTGTGATATTAGATCAATTCAGTAGTTCAGTACCTGTTGATGATGAGTGACAGGGGCCACTTGACGATGTAGTCGAAGGAGAAGGCCTCCAGGCCGCTGAGGCCCACCTCGGTGGGCTCTGCGTTGATGATGGCCTTCTCCTGTTTGGTCTCAATGGCCAGCACCCGCAGCAGCTGAGTGATGACGTCATGAGGCATGAGGTCAATCTGTGGAGAGAAGAGAGGAAGTTTAACATTATGAAGTGTGAAGAGAACTAACTACATTAGTGACGGTATAATGAAGGAATGGATAGATTGTCAAGTTATGTTTCCAGTTATTCCTATAGCTTATCATTTTCTTTCCATTTGTCGAGGGTTTTCAAGATAGTTGTGGCTAATAAAGTGTATTTGAGCCGCTTTCTGAATTACATTTAACAAACAAATTAAATATGTGTTTATTGTTGAATCATTAAATGAGAAGGACCATGGGGCGCAGAGAGTTGTCCAGTTGAGTCTGCAACCAGTCTGGTTGCAATGATACAGAATAATATCGGGCTATGTGTATTCATTTCTCCTCTGTTATTGTTTGGCAGTGCTGAATTGGCACTTGTACAAATCTTTGGGGCAATTGTTCCGCCTATCCTCTACTGAGATTAAATGTACATTATTTGTATTGTGGTTGTGGTGTTTGCTTGCCCCCCGATATTGGCCTGTCAACATTGCAATACTGCTTTTACTGCATAAAACCATAGTACATGTTTTTTACCTAGTGCAAGAAAACAGCAAGGTATCACCTAAATTACTGAACGTTTTTTAATTACAGTGCATCCGGAAAGTATTCATACCCCTTCACTTTTTCCACATTTTGTTATGTTACAGCCATATTTCAAAATGGATTAAATTCATTTGTTTTCTCAACATTCTACACACAATACCCCATAATGACAAAGTTACAAAAGTTTTAAAATAATTTTTGCTAATGAATTAAAAATAAAACACTCAAATATCACATGTGCATAAGTATTCACACCCTTAACTCAATACTTTGTTGAAGCACCTTTGGCAGCAATTACAGCCTCAAGTCTTCTTGAGCATGATGCTACACGCTTGGCACACCTTTCTTTGGGCAGTTTCTCCCATTCTTCTTTGCAGATCGTCTCAAGCTCCATCAGCTTGGATGGGGAGCGTCGGTGCACAGCCATTTTCAGATCTCTCCAGAGATATTCAATCCGGTTCAAGTCTGGGCTCTGGCTGGGCCACTCAAGGACATTCACAGACTTGTCTCGAAGCCACTCCTTTGTTATCGTGGCTGTGTGCTTAGGGTCATTGTCCTGTTGAAAGGTGAACCTTGGCCCCAGTCTGAGGTCCAGAGCGCTCTGGAGCAGGTTTTCATCAAGGATCTCCCTGTACATTGCTGCATTCATCTGTCCCTTGATCCTGACTAGTCTCCCAGTTCCTGCTGCTGAAACACATCCCCACAGCATGATGCTGCCACCACCAGGCTTCACTGTAGGGATGGTGTTGGCCAGGTGATGAGCGGTGCCTGGGTTCCTCCAGACATGATGCTTGGCATTCAGGCCAAAGAGATCCATTGTGGTTTCATCAGACCAGACAATTTGGTTTCTCATGGTCTGAGAGTCCTCTAGGTGCTCCATGGGGGCTTTCATGTAGGGCTGTGCAATTAATCGTATTTTAATCGCAATTACGATTTTGGCCTGCCACAATTACGAAAAAAACGATTATTTTGCTTTGCTAGGTTGTGACAGTGCACTGCAACATATTTGATCAAATGTATTTGTATTTATCATATTTATATATGTTTAGTAGCTTGTTGAAGTGCGCTCCAAAATATTTGTTGATCTTGTTTTTTGGTATTTATTATTTTGATATTATTTATTTAAATGTAGATATAAATGTATCATTTATTTTATTTATTTTTGTATTGGTTTTTCAGTTGAATTA